CTCAGTGAGAGTCACTTACAAACACTCAGTGAGAGTCACTTACAAACACTCAGTGAGAGTCACTTACAAACACTCAGTGAGAGTCACTTACAAACACTCAGTGAGAGTCACAAACACTCAGTGAGAGTCACTTACAAACACTCAGTGAGGGTCACTTACAAACACTCAGTGAGAGTCACTTACAAACACTCAGTGAGAGTCACTTACAAACACTCAGTGAAAGTCACAAACACTCAGTGAGAGTCACTTACAAACACTCAGTGAGAGTCACTTACAAACACTCAGTGAGAGTCACTTACAAACACTCACTGAGTGAGAGTCACTAACAAACACTCACTTAGTCACTTACAAACACTCACTGAGTGAGAGTCACTTACAAACACTCACTGAGTGAGAGTCACTTACAAACACTCACTGAGTGAGAGTCACTTACAAACACTCACTGAGAGTCACTTACAAACACTCACTAGGTCACTTACAAACACTCATGAGTGAGAGTCACTTACAAACACTCACTGAGTGAGAGTCACTTACAAACACTCACTGAGTCAGTCACTTACAAACACTCACTGAGTCAGTCACTTACAAACACTCAGTGAGAGTCACTTACAAACACTCAGTGAGAGTCACTTACAAACACTCAGTGAAAGTCACAAACACTCAGTGAGAGTCACTTACAAACACTCAGTGAGAGTCACTTACAAACACTCAGTGAGAGTCACTTACAAACACTCACTGAGTGAGAGTCACTAACAAACACTCACTTAGTCACTTACAAACACTCACTGAGTGAGAGTCACTTACAAACACTCACTGAGTGAGAGTCACTTACAAACACTCACTGAGTCAGTCACTTACAAACACTCAGTGAGAGTCACAAACACTGAGCAATGCGTAAATTGTCATCCTCACATAATTACGCTAACCAAATCAACAAATTGATTATAATCGATGATTATGCTATTCATCCACCATTAATCACTTCCGTATAACCACCTGTCAACACCTGCATGAACACAGACTATCCACGAACAGTCGCACACGAGTGTCCCTGTGCGACTATTCACTTCAAAGACTGAAACTAGTCCACAAGACGTTTTAGTCCTTCCCGGACTTTTTTTTTTTGAGCTTACGACTATTGGTGAATAGCAGTAGTAGCGTTTGACAAATAGTCTCTGGATGGTTGACAGTGCCAGTTCAAGCTTGCCACTGGCACTACTGACGTGTGTTTTAATTAAGACCCTTGGGCGGTGCCATAATTCAGTAATGGCGCCGGCTGGCACTGTAGGAGGAAGAAGAGGAGGAAGAGGAGGAGGAAGAGGAAGAGGAAGAGGAGGAGGAAGAGGAGGGGGAATAAGAGGAGGAGAAGAAGGAGGAGGAAGAAGAAGAAGAGGAGGAGAGGAGGAGGAGGAGGTGAAAGAGAAAGAGGAGGACTTGAAGATGAGATGAAAAGAGGAAGGAGAAAGAGCAGGAGAAAAAGAATGATGAGGTAGAGGGAAAGGAAAAATAAGAATAAAATGGAGATGGCAAATGGAAATAAAAGAAAGATAAAAAGGGAAGATTCAATGGAATATAAGAAAAGGGAAGGACGAAAAAAAACACGATTAAGTGGGAAAAAAAGGAATTAAGAGAAAAAGCGTGTAGTAGAAGAGACACGAATGGAGGAATAATACAAGAATCTGAAAACAGAAGAGAAAGGGGAAAAGATGACAAGATAATACAGAAAGGGGTGGATGGTAAGAAGATGGGATTGGAAAGGGAAAAAGGAAGGGGCATGGAAGAGGCAATGGAATGAGTAAACCTGGAGAGAGAAGGAAGAGGAAATGAAGCGTAAAGAAGAAAAATGAATATTGAGCGATGAAAAACAAAAAAAGTATGAAGGAAAAATTGGGTGAGCGGAAAGGTGATTTAATGAATGAATGAAAGAAGAAGAAGAAGAAGAAGATGAAGAAGATGATGAAGAAGAAGATGAAGAAGAAGATGAAGATGAAGAAGAATAAGAAGAATAAGAAGACAAAGATGAAGAAGAAGAAGAAGAAGAAGAAGAAAATGAAGATGAAGACGAAGATGAAGAAGATGAAGATGAAGATGAAGACGAAGACGAAGAAGAAGAAGAAGAAAACGAAGATGAAGAAAAAGAAGAAAAAGGAGAAAAAGAAGAAGAAGAAGAAGAAGAAAATGAAGATGAAGACGAAGACGAAGACGAAGACGAAGAAGAAAACGAAGATGAAGAAAAAGAAGAAAAAGGAGGAGAAGAAGAAGATGAAGAAGATGAAGAAGAAGAAGAAGAAGGAGAAGAAGAAGGAGAAGAAGAAGAAGAAGAAGAAGATGAAGAAGAAGAAGAAGAAGATGAAGAAGATGAAGAAGAAGAAGAAGAAGAAAACGAAGTAGAAGAAGAAGAAGAAGAAGAAGAAGAAGAAGAAGAAGAAAACGAAGTAGAAGAAAACGAAGAAGAAGAAGAAGAAGAAGAAGAAGAAGAAGAAAACGAAGTAGAAGAAAACGAAGAAGAAAACGACGAAGAAGAAGAAAGAAAGAAAAACGAAAAGGAAGAAGAAGAGAAACGGAAAAGAAAGAACAAGAAGAAAAGAAGAAAAGTATAATGAATAGTAATAACAAGAAGCAACCAAAAAGGACAATTCTTCCTCCACCTGTTGTTCCCTGGGACTCATTCCTTGACGTGATGAGAAGGACCTGAAGAGAGTTAAGCCACACTACCTGGCTTACCCTGCTTATCCTTGCTTGATAACCCACACTAATGTCTTTGGTCCCTCTTCAGTGCTATTGTTCGACTCGACCACCTGTTCGACTCCCTCTATCAACCACCCTAGGGTCATTAAGGGCTGTATATCACTAGTATACCTCCACTTAAGAATACTTTAATCCCTAAAACAGGAATTAAAGTAATCTCTTGGCGCATATATATACTGAGATATACACCTCACGGTGTGTATATATCACGGTGACAACTTTCGTGTATCAGAGGCGTAACTTAGGCCAGAATTACTAACTACAGTATCATTACTGAGGTTACAAATGGTACTGGTAGGTACAAAATATACATGTGCGTTAGTTAGGACATTTATTACAAAGATGTTTCGCCCGCCAGAGGGAGGAGGGGCTGTGTTGTCTAGCTCTAGTGACTGTGGGTCTTAACGTGACTGAACCACCTCCAGTCTAGTGCTTTTGGCTCTCAACGTGACTGAACCACCTCCAGTCTAGTGCTTGTGGCTCTCAACGTGACTGAACCACCTCCAGTCTAGTGCTTGTGGCTCTCAACGTGACTGAACCACCTCCAGTCTAGTGCTTGTGGCTCTCAACGTGACTGAACCACCTCCAGTCTAGTGCTTGTGGCTCTCAACGTGACTGAACCACCTCCAGTCCAGTGCTTGTGGCTCTCAACGTGACTGAACCACCTCCAGTCTAGTGCTTGTGGCTCTCAACGTGACTGAACCACCTCCAGTCTAGTGCTTGTGGCTCTCAACGTGACTGAACCACCTCCAGTCTAGTGCTTGTGGCTCTCAACGTGACTGAACCACCTCCAGTCTAGTGCCTGTGACTCTCAACGTGACTGAACCACCTCCAGTCTAGTGCCTGTGGCTCTCAACGTGACTGAACCACCTCCAGTCTAGTGCTTGTGGCTCTCAACGTGACTGAACCACCTCCAGTCTAGTGCTTGTGGCTCTCAACGTGACTGAACCACCTCGTCTAGTGCTTGTGGCTCTCAACGTGACTGAACCACCTCCAGTCTAGTGCCTGTGACTCTCAACGTGACTGAACCACCTCCAGTCTAGTGCCTGTGGCTCTCAACGTGACTGAACCACCTCCAGTCTAGTGCTTGTGGCTCTCAACGTGACTGAACCACCTCGTCTAGTGCTTGTGGCTCTCAACGTGACTGAACCACCTCCAGTCTAGTGCCTGTGACTCTCAACGTGACTGAACCACCTCCAGTCTAGTGCCTGTGGCTCTCAACGTGACTGAACCACCTCCAGTCTAGTGCCTGTGACTCTCAACGTGACTGAACCACCTCCAGTCTAGTGCTTGTGGCTCTCAACGTGACTGAACCACCTCGTCTAGTGCTTATGGCTCTCAACGTGACTGAACCACCTCGTCTAGTGCTTGTGGCTCTCAACGTGACTGAACCACCTCCAGTCTAGTGCTTGTGACTCTCAACGTGACTGAACCACCTCCAGTCTAGTGCTTGTGGCTCTCAACGTGACTGAACCACCTCCAGTCTAGTGCTTGTGACCCTCAACGCGACTGAACCACCTTCAGTCTAGTGCTTGTGGCTCTCAACGTGACTGAACCACCTCCAGTCTAGTGCTTGTGGCTCTCAACGTGACTGAACCACCTCCAGTCTAGTGCTTGTGGCTCTCAACGCGACTGAACCACCTCCAGTCTAGTGCTTGTGGCTCTCAACGTGACTGAACCACCTCCAGTCTAGTGCTTGTGGCTCTCAACGTGACTGAACCACCTCCAGTCCAGTGCTTGTGGCTTTCAACGTGACTGAACCACCTCCAGTCTAGTGCTTGTGGCTTTCAACGTGACTGAACCACCTCCAGTCCAGTGCTTGTGGCTTTCAACGTGACTGAACCACCTCCAGTCTAGTGCTTGTGGCTTTCAACGTGACTGAACCACCTCCAGTTAGTGCTTGTGGCTTTCAACGTGACTGAACCACCTCCAGTCTAGTGCTTGTGGCTCTCAACGTGACTGAACCACCTCCAGTCTAGTGCTTGTGGCTCTCAACGTGACTGAACCACCTCCAGTCTAGTGCTTGTGACTCTCAACGTGACTGAACCACTTCCAGTCTACTGTCACCCGCACTGACAGTTAACCATTCTGCAGTCACACAAAACACTTAGAAAAACTACACCAACCATTCCCTTTCATCTTTTCCTTCACCCCCTAAAAATCCATTTCTTGTCCGCCTATTTTTGTTTGTATTCCCACAAAGATCATCTACCATTAACCGGACATTAGGCAAACAACAATTCTAACAATAAACAAGGAGGGAGTAATAATATACACATTAAGCGTGGTAACGAGGCCATTCCACCCGTCCTAACTGCCACATCGGTTACATATTAAAATTGAATGGTAGTCAGGTCTCGACTGTGACGGGTCGCAGAGTGAGAGAAAAAAAATAAATTGAAATTAACGATAATTATCACGCGAAATAATCGTACGGGGACGAAAATTTCTGAACGTTCAATGCTGATCAAAAGAGGTTGGTAATTTATCTTCCAGTGAGGTTAATTAAATTCGACTGGAAATACCCCCAACCCCCAACCCTGGGGTATCCCTCCGAACATATAACCCCCTCACTCATCTTCCACTCCATACCCCTCCACTCACCTACCACTCCAGAAATATTCAGAATTTGCAGTTTTGAATCGCAAAAAATATTTTTCATATTACTGTGTATATTCCGTGGATGGCTGGAAATACAAGATAACATACATGGAAAAACACAGACGCACACGAACACATATACATATACAAATAAACGTGAATAGGTAAAACTTTCGATTTTGGTTTAAATAGCAACGCTCTTCTTGCTGAATAAGGCAAGCGAAAATCTGTGTATGCAATAATTTCGCAAATATCATTCTGAACCTATTAAAAAAAATATTTCATTGTGTTTATTTGTTATTAAATTAATGTAAACTTATGTAAAATATATTTATCTGGATTATGCTATATTAATAGTTTTTTATAATAAGGTTAGGTAAGTTTTGTAAGGTTCTTTTGTTCCAAAATTATTAATTTTTACATTAACATAAACGGAAAAAATATATCTTTAAACATATAAGAGAAAATTTTAGAAAGGACTTAATTTTAAATGAGTTCTTGCTAATTGACCAATTTTATCTATTCGGCACGACACACACACACACACGCGTATATATATAATATATATATATATATATATATATATATATATATATATATATATATATATATATATAATATATATATATATATATATCCGTATACGTGTGCTCATGCTCACCAAATTGTGGGTCAAGACTAAGCTCCTGGCTCTCGCCTCCTAGACCATTTTCATCCTCACCAATGCTTTTTGTTCTCTTGGCCTTATCATACCCTCTCTTGAAGCTGTGTATTCAAGTTTGCCTCCACCACCCCGTGCTCCTCTGAAATCAGTCTACGTCTTCACTTCCCCATGGGAATAACGAAACACTACCTTATATTCCTATGTTCTGTGTCTTAATCATCCCCTCCCGTGTGTTGTTCCCTTGATCCAGGTCCTCCCAGGTCTGCACCTCTCAAAACTTCGCTCACACACACCCAGGGAAAATCCCTTTCCGCTCAGAAAGGCCAGCGAGAGACGAAATACATTTAAATTCTACAGTAAGTCGGTTTTAGACACAAGCACACAGGACCCCTGTGATAGTGAGTTTGCTTAATATCATCCAGGAAAGATATATTACCCGGGCCGTATATTCTCTCGCTGTGTGTGTGTGTTTGTGTGTGTGTATGTGTGTGTGTGTGTGTGTGTGTGTGTGTGTGTGTGTGTGTGTGTGTATAACAGCCTGTTAGCACCCGGTGCCAAGCAACACTCGGTGTTGCATATCATGCGGTCCCCTTGAAATTGTAATGTGATGGAGAGACGTAAAATGTGAGGGGAAAACCACGTTAAAACCTACGATAATTACCTAACTCATTATCATAGCTTTTTTTTTATGCGCCCCCCCCAGCTGCAATTTTAATTGCGGTAATAATATTATAATGATGTTTCATGGTTATTAGGGCAGGTAATAGAGTAGTTAGACTCGCTGGTCATCTAGTTTACCTGAGCGGTTTTAAAAAAATAACTTGTGTTATGATGCACTATGATACACTCACCTGGGTTAATAATATTGTTTAAAGAGGATATTGTGCCCTGTCGGGTATATCTTACTCTCAACACTGTTTATTGTTTACCTGGGCACTGGTCTCTATACTGTAAATTGTAAACACTAGTCTGTATACTGTAAATGTAAAAACTGGTGTATATATTGTAAAATGTAAACGTTGGTCTGTTTATTCTGAAGTTGAATACGGGTGTGTTCAGTGTGTGGACGAACACTGATCTTGGCTCACCCACACCAGCGGAAACTCTGCAACTTTTGCCAATCTATGGGGAAAGATTTTCATTTTTGTGTATATGTGTGAGAGTGTGTGTGTGTGTGTGTGTGAGAGAGAGAGAGAGAGAGAGAGAGAGTGTGTGTGTGTGTGTGTGTGTGTGTGTGTAAGAGAGAGAGAGAGAGAGAGAGAGAGAGAGTGTGTGTCCTGCGCTGTAGCTAGGGAATCAGTAAAAAAATATATTATTATTCATCTTGTTTTTTTCTTCGCATCTTCTTCTCTTTCGTATTCTCTACCATGTCATGTTTTCTTCTGTTTCTCCATTGTTATGTTCAGTCTTCTCTCATAAATGTATATATATATATATATATATATATATATATATATATATATATATATATATATATATAATCCTAG